TTGGACAGCAGAGGACATATGGGCTCTTGGATGTTCAGAGGAGCATTTTCCAGTTTGCTAACGTTTTGTAGAAATAATTGGCAGATCAAGCTCAGAGGTTTCTACAAGACATTTCTTCTTAAAATGAAAAACTAGTTTGACACAAGAATCTGAATTCAAGGTCCAGTTTTCTAGAGCTCTCAACTGCATCCTGTGTTCTTCATCTGCAGATGGAGTTGCTGTCTCCACGCCGGCCATATTCAGCAGCTACATCAGTTGGGTAAGAACATTTGCTCACTTGGGTAAAACTCCATAAGCTATTGTCACAGCAGTGGTGTTTGTGGTGATGAGTAGTCGTGAAAACACACGGACGACATGCGGCGCTGCTACAGGGTCTGCTGTGGTTACCTGTGAGGAAATTAAGAGGCAGCCTTCGGGGAACGAGGCCTTTTGGAAACTTCACCCAGGAGTCCTCGTAAATCTTCTGACGTTCCTCTATACTGCCTGGACGGACACACACACAGAGTGGAAAGAAAAACTGACCAGTCAACATCAGGGATCGACCGATATGGGTTTTCCAGGGCCGATAACGATTATTGCCGCTCAAGAAAACCGATGACCAACATTTTTTTGGGTCGATACGCATTGCATGTAAAGTTTTAACAGCATGCGATAGAAGAGAACCTGTCATCATAACTAGGCTGTGTGACTATAACTGAACATATAAAATGGAAAGATGAGCGATTAAATCAGGACGCTCTCTTCTGCTTATGTGGCTTCGACTGAGATTCATGAGTTTGTCTTCGGCACTTCTGTCTGCTCTACTTTCTTTCACTGTTTTCTAGCTTTTATTGTCCACTCGGGTCCATATCTTAAACCATAATGAAATATTTTTTTCCCAGACTCTGTTTTGAAGTACTTTGTTGCTGCCTTCCAACTTAGCTGCTAGCTGTTAGCATAGCATTATCCCCTGTGAACAGAGCTAATGTTCTGGTTTGTGACAACAGCTTGTATTTCTTATTCAGTTTTTGCAGAGTGACGACAGACGGCGAGAGAAGGCTGCATCAGACCTGAAGTAGTGTATTTCACTTATCAATAATCAAAATCACCGATATGATAATTGGGAAAATGCCAAACATCGGCCACGAAATTGGTCTGTCCCGAGCACTAAACCTGCACTCATCCTTCAGCCAACCAACACCTCGCTGAATTATTAGGAATCAATTGTTGTTTTTGCCCAATAATGGTTTTACATACAAAATATTAAGCAAATTCTTTTCAAAATAAATCCTAATTGCGTATTGATATCTAATTATAATATTTGTTAAGATCACAACACATATTTTATTACTTCTTTGGGGAGTTTTCAGATGTAAATCTAACAACTGTAAGATATCACATCTTGTTGTGATGACAGAGGATGTTTTAATGAGAAATACCATCTGCCATCTCTGCAACACTTCATTACTTGTACACCAAAAGGTGATACCTAATGAATGGACATGAGCGGCTGTGGCTCAGGTGGTAGAGTGGTTGGTTCGATGCCCCGCCCCTCCACAGTCAAAGTGTCCTTGGGCAAGACACTGAACCTGAAGATGCTCTCAATGGCAGGCAGCACCTTGCATGGCAGCTCTGTGGCCATTGGTGTGTGAATGGGTGAATGAGAAAACACTGTAAAGCGCTTTGAGTAGCACTAAGGTAGAAAGGTGCTGTGCAAGTGCAGTCCTGGGCCAGGCCTCCCTTGCCTGATGTTATAAAACCTTGGTCTGAGATTTTGCTTTGTGCTGACATGATTTATCATACAGTTCCTGCAGATTTCTCAGCTGCACATTCATGCTTCACATCAACTTGGTGGGAGGCCTCTGAAGCCCGCTGAATTCACCGTGATAGTCATGAAACCACTTTGACTTTGCTTTGTGACGTGGTGCATTGTGCTGCTGGAAGATAGTAAACTGAGGCCATACAAGGATGCACACAGTCAGCAACAACCCTCAGACAGGCCGTGGCATACGGGTCGTGGCATTCAGACCATGACTGATTGGTACCAAGTCCACCAAGAAAACATCCCCCACACTATGACACCAACAGCAGCCTGGACTGTTGACACAAGGCAGGTTGGCTCTGAGGATTCACGTTGTTGATGCCAAACAGTGAGCCTACCATCTGCAGCTTCAGCAGAAACTGAGATTCAGGCCTTCAGAGCAGGCTGCACTTTTCCATCTTCAGCTGTACAGCTTTGGTGAGCCTGTGCTTCCTGCAGCTTCATACTTCTGCTTCGGCTGAGATGAGTAGAACCTGACATGGTCTTCTGCTGCCGTAGTTCATCTATCTCAAGACTGGACAATTTTTTAAACATTTTTCTCATTTGAAAAAGTATTTATGTCCAGTCTGTGATTAGTATATAAGGAGAGAAGCCACGTGTATTTTCCTTATACACTGTATTTGACAATTAAACCGATTCTGATGCTCTCAGCTCCAGCTCGTCTGACCTCTCTCATCAACAAGGCGTTTATATCTGAGAGCACATGTTTCTTCATTCTGATGTTTGATATGAACACTAACTGCTCCTGACTTGTGTCCAGAGGATTTTATTCTGTATTTTTGCCACACTGTTGGCTAACAGCATAAATTAGCTTGTGTTCAGGTGTTCCTGGTGCAGCAGTGATGGAAAGACTAAAATTTTTACTGAGAAGTAAACGTTTCTCCAGAGAACGGGAGAAGTTACTTATCCTCACTGCAAATCGGAAAGATGCTGTCATATCTCAGGTTGGATTAAGTCAAAGTTGACAGAAAAAATAAGTGTATCTCACTAGGTTCACGTGCTCCATGAAAACATATCAACAGAAAAGAAAAAGCTGCAACCACAAGAACATGACAAAGTGCAGAAGTCACCTAAACTGCAGGTTCACTACATCAATCCATCACAGGAAACTGTTCACACATGTGTAGGCCTGATTTAAAAGTGCTCACCTGGCTTCAAGGCCTTTTCCAGGCCCTGGTAGTAGGCCCAGTTCTCTGGGTTCCTCTCCTGGAGTCTCCTGTAGACCTCTGAAGCTTCCTCAGGCCTCTCCAGCTTTAGCAGCAGCTCTCCTACAAAACACACACATTTATACAAAGGACTCCTGCAGGCTCGGCACTTACTAAGCACAGCTCTAAAGTGTGTTTGATCCCCAACATGGTGGTGCTCAGCAAGTACCGCTGAAGTGATCACTGCTCAGCAACAGCTACCTCAACTGAAACACAAACACTTAACGAGCAGCGCTGGTGTCTGAACAACCACATCAGCTCACCTCTAGTCTCCTCTACAGCCAGTTTGTCACAGATCTGTTTCTCATAGTTGTTGAGGTGATCGAGGGCCTCCTTGTGCAGGCCGGCCTCCCTCAGAACTTGGTTCTGATACAGCAGCAGTTCACTGTACTCATAGTCCACCTTGTCCGGCGACGTCTGAACACAAACACACAGCAAAGAAGAGGATTGTGGTACGGACTTAAACAGATGTGTGCATAGGAAGCTGAATAATGACGCTCATATTAATCAGTTTGTCCACTGCCAAGCTACTCTGACATAGTTTATGTACTTTCTGCAACACAGAAAAAGTGGATCAAACCAAACTGGTTAAAATACAGGTACAATGTCCGTTTTGTGCAAGTCATCTTAGCACTTTCTGTCTGACATAAAAATAGTATTTGGTTTCTCCTACATGCGAATATCACGCTGTAATACTATTAAACTGTGTTTGATAAAGCAGCAGCGTCACTGTTTTTACTGAGACAACCCAACCCTGGAAAAGGCTTCAGGACCTCATATTTGTTCAAACATTTTTGACGGTCTCACAGAAATCATCAGCATCGTTCCTGTGAGAGGTTCAGAAGGTTTTTTAAAACAATAGATTTGAGGCGAGTAGGAAAAGTGTAGACGGGTCCCGTAGTGACCCGCGTGTGCACATCTGGAAGTCACATTGTTCTAAAGTCTATTGTCTACAGCAGGGGTGTCCAGTCCTGGTCCTCGAGAGCCCCTATCCAGCATGTTTTAAATGTTTCCCTCTTCCAACACACCTGATTCAAATGATCAGCTCATCATCAAGCTCTGCAGAAGCCTGATAACGATCCTGATCATGTGAATCAGGTGTGCTGGAAGAGGGAAACATCTAAAACATGCTGGACAGGGGCTCTCGAGGACCAGGATTGGGCACCCCTGTTCTAAAGTCTATAGTCTACAGACATTTTTAATAACACTTTCTATGTGGACTGGTCTTTATGCCAGTTAGACCGGATCGTATTTGTTTTTGGATAAATCTGAAGAAATCTGCACACTTCAGCTGAAGCACTTCAGCCTACCTGTTGCGTTTTGCGGAACTCCTCGACAATCTTGGCAGCCATCTCAAAGTCCTCTAACAGGTGATAAGCCACTGCATATCCGATCCACGAGGCCCGCTGGGCTGGACGGAGCTGCAGCAGCTGGTACCGAGTCTCCTGAAGCAAGAGAGAGAGCGAACCATCACACAAGTGCATGCAGCTGTGTGTCTCTTCGGTTGTCCTGTAAACCACCATATCCACTGTTGTGCAGCAGTGTATGAGGAATGTACCTGACCCACCAAACAAGTCAGAAGTCAAGAACAAGATCTTTTTTTAAAAAACGTGCATCTTCACATTACTTGCCACTTCTCGGCTATTTCATGAAATGAGTAACTGTTACTTTTGAAATGTTGATTTGAAAGAAATGCAGAAAGAACATTCTGCCTCAGTAAAAGGTTCCGTCAGCCTCCACAGCCCGCTTAAGTTTGGCTAATTAGAGTAGAACCACTGGTTCTCAAACACTGGGCCACTGGAGCAAACCTGGGTCCAGATGCATAAAACTCAAAAAGCACAAATAGGTTCATGACTGTGTCTAAGCTCAATGACAGAAATATGCAAACACATTCTTTCTGTCAGCTTTATAAAGCCACAAGTACACCTGATTCTGTTTACCACTCCCACAATTATCCATGAACGCATTTAGAAACAGTCTCACAACCAATAGATGCAGTTTATAGTGTCTGAGGTACGAATTCATCCCACGTCCCTGCAAACAATCAGCACATTAATGCCTCGATCATCCTTATCAAACATCACAAAGACCATCAGTGATTCATCTAAAGTGCTCGTCCTCAAACCGGCATCACAAAAAGGATCAAACAAAGAAATCCTTAACTGGGAAATAATGGCTCAAATGCAGATAAAAACAGTGAATTTCCTCATTCAGAACTGTTTAAAATTACGTTTATTTTAAAAGTGCCTCTGCATGATTTTGTAAAACACTGTGTAAACTACAAAATAAAAAACATAGGAACAAAAACATTTACACCATGACACAGGTTGGATGCTTTCAGTTTGTTTGTCTCGAATTTAAATTTGCAAAGAAAAGGGAAAAAAGAAAATGATTGGCCATTTTTTCCTGGAGAAGTGACTTTTGGTTCTGGACAACTGAAGCGTAAATGTGTTGGTTGAGAAGACAAAAGGTTGAAGAAAGTTGAGCGCTACCCTTCATCCAGTCTCATCCCTCATCAATTTAATCTAGATGATTCTATTTTTGAACCCATCCCTTCTCTCTGGTGTCTCTCACCCTGTATCCCTCCAGGTCCCTCATCTGGATCTGAAGCAGGGAAAGGTCTCGGAGGATCTGCAGGTTGTCCTTGTCCCACTTCAGAGCGTTGCGGTAACACTTGATGGCCTCGTCGTACTTTTTGTCCGAGCGTTGCAGCAGGCCATACACGTGCCAGCCTGGGAGGGTGGCGCGTTCAGGAAGAACACATACACTGTCCAAGTGTTTACAAATGTACAACAAAGGAAAATGCAAGTTCTCTAAGGTCCTACAGGGTCAATTTAGCGGCTGCATCGTTTAACTGAACAGCAGACAGAAGTGTGAGACGAAGGCTGGCAGCGCTGGGCAGCGATGAAAGGATACAGACGTGGCTTTTGAGGTCATTGCGGAGGCCTCGTCTCACCAGCTCGTAGGCCTCCTCCTTCTTGCCCAGACAGTTGAGGGTTAAACCCTTCATGGCCAGGGTTTCTGGAGAAATGAGCAAGAGGAGAGCAAGGAGTGAGACATTCAATCAAACTCAACCTGTGTTAAGTACAGATACATTCATATCACTAATGTCAAAACGTTGCACTCAACACAATATTGGTCAGAATACTTTAAAAAATATATTAAAAATATCTGAGGAGCAACCGAAAGGTTAAATTTTTCATTAAATGTGTACCTAATGATTTTTGTAAATCATCAATGGAAAGGTTCCAGTTCCAAGTTGCACACATTTCATACGTTTTATCCACAGAATCCAGAAACTCAATTCAGCATTTTCAGCAGAGCTCTTCAACACTTTCTTTGCCTCAGTGCATTGTGCAGTAGGTGGTGAATCTCAGCAACTGTGATTTAAAGGCTGGTCATTTTTTCTCATACAGATCACATTTTACTAGTTTTGTGCAGCCAGTCAGGATATCGAGTGCACATTTTTCCAAACAGTGGCGTTGCTGCCTTGACTGGGTGCAGTTTGACTTTACTGCTGCATCTGTAAAGCGCATGGACATTTGTGGCGCTGATTTCTGGATGGAACTTCTGCGTCAGGACGTGCAAAACTGATCTCTGGTTTGGCTCCTGCAGTGCACATGGCAGCTTCAGTTCCACCATCAGCTCTGTTACTGGTACTTGCAGGAGCAGTGGCCACAGATAAATAAAAACAAGGACTGTGTGTACTGTAAACTTCTAAATTTGTCAACTCTCTCTCTGTCTTTTTCTCACATGTAAAACATAGAATGGGTTTATGTTAGACAAACTAGATGTGACTCAGACCAGCTGATGTATTAGACAGTCTTACACCTGCCAGTCTCAAACAGTCAATGTTAGTTCCTTACATCCTGAGACGTGACAGGTAACCCAACATTATGTCACTCACCAAGACACCTGCCCTGCTCTCCAGTGATTCTCCTCACACTCCTATAATTTCTTGCTGACGGCTGTAATTTCTCTTGATCTTTTGCTGTTGCCGGTCTCATAATTATGAAGCTGTGGTCATACGCGGCTGAATGTACGTTTTCGTGGCTGCAGTTTTCCCTAAATTAACATACAGAATTTTCACTGACACCAAAAAATAAATCACAGCCCTTTGTAGCAGCAAGGCTGGTGCAGGTGTGGAAATGAGCAAAGGTGTAGGCGCTCCAGATGCTGTCCTCACAGCCACTGCTGAAAATCTATCCGCCGTAAAGTAATAATTTAAAACTGTATTCTCATATTTCATCACAAATATTCATTCTAATTTCATTCTAATCCAATAGTTGCAAGGGATATCAGCTAATGTAATGTTAATTGCTAAGTAACCATTAGATAAGTCAACTCCCCATAAAGCTCCTGTAAATATCAGTATGGGGCAAATCTAATCATGGAGCAGTCCTGTGCTGTGTCACAACAATCGTACTAAAATAAACGTGCAAAATACGCACAATAGAATAGAAAATTCATTCAGAACTTTTTGCCTGGTTTGTACTCACAGAGTTCATTAGGCTAAGATGTTCAGCCTTTGTTTACATTTTGCATTAAATAGTGCAATTGTCAACAGCAATAAAGTTCAATCTTGTCCTCTAATGAATTTAACTTTATTCACAGTGCAACAGCATAACACTGGACAAAAGCATTTAATCCCAACAAGAGCACAAACTCACTCCTTTCAAATGTATAGATTTTTCTGTGAATGTTAAGAAGGTAAAATGACAACTGGGAGTATTTTCAGACAAACAGATGAGGGACGGTTTTGACTTTGATGGAACAGCTGCTATTCAGTGCACACTGAGACAAACATGACTCAGAATTTACTAAAAGTGGTAGATTAGACAAGAGTAATCTTACAAGAGACTAAATTAGGTCTTGAAGTACAGAAGCACACTGCATTCACACAAGAAAAACAAACAACAAACTTGGAGTCTTTATGTTGTAATTATGATTTACAAGCTCACAAAAAAGCTCTCATAAAGATAAGAACAGACACTTAGTTTATTTAATACAATGAGTCGTCTAGAAAATGTCAGAAAACTAGACTTTTGTAAATAGATGTAAACTTTTTTCCAGTAACAGCGACTACAGTGTTGCCATGGATACAGTGGGCTACACTGCTGGCAGCAAGGAACTGGGATGCTTCAGAAGAATCAGTAGATCTTGAATTCTTCAATATCAAAATAATTCAGCGAGAGTTGTCGGCACATCCCATAGCATACAGAACGGAGTTTGTAGCTTGTTCAGCACACATCCAGAATGTAAACAAAGACTCAAGCCATCATGTATCCATGGCAACGTCATACCACCCTACAAGTGAAAACTTATGTGGCTGTTTCCAACACACACACACACACACAAAAAGCCCATTTACCGTTAATCAAGCTCATATTTTTTACATTAAATCAGGTAGTGCCATCACCCTGTCCTGCTATGAACAGATATCCACTTTAACTCTTTTCTTGCATTGTGCTTCAGTGTTAGAGCTTTTGCTTTTTGTTTCTTTAAACACAAGAAGCTCCTTATTAATCCTAAACTTTTATTATTTATGTATTTTTTTGAAACTGTCGGTTGTCTAAGACCTAAACTGCGGTAGCAACAAATGCTACTTGTATTACCGAAGCAGAACCACTGATTCTTTCTGATCAACTTTCGATATATCTTCCATCTGATGCAGGTGCAGAAGCACAACCCACAATCACAAGACACAAGAAACTGAACACAAGAAACTGCAACAAAAAACACACACGCTATTGATGTATATTTGCAAACTCTCAGAATTAAAAATATACTCATGAGTGTATTAACATCTCTGTCTTAGGTCTTTACAATCATTAGGAAAGACTTCTACTCCTCCTTTAACCATCAGTTCCAGGAGGGAAAAACAGCAAGATGCCAAGCTGGTTTTACAATATTATGAACGCATACACCATGATTTACAGCATATTGTGCCAAAGAGCTGTTGACTGCTGCTTCAGTAACATATGATGGGAGGTCTATGGTGCAATATGAATCTATTTAAAATGTGTTTCACTCAATAGCTTCAAGTGTTTTTTTCCTTCATATTACAGTCTTTTTATTACTTGTATGTACTTAAAAGTCTAAGGTCAGCTGTCAAGAAGGAAGGGTGATTGTGTGTTTTAACGTAATGCCACAGAGACAAAATTACACAACAATACGCGCCACACATCTTGTGTAAAACTAGTAAACTCTTGATTCAAAACAGAGCAGGAAGTGGTTGTCAGTGAGTGTTTCCATTGAGTGTGAAGTCAAGTAGGTCTCCTCTTACCTCCATGCTCGGCAAACTTCGGGTTGCCCAGGATCTGTTTGCAGAACTTGAGGCCGTTTCGGTACTGCTTGTGCTCGTAACATCTCTGCAACAACGGACAGAGCAGACGTTACATCAAGCATCTGAGGCTGGAGAGCTGGCTTTAAGCACATAAAAAAAAATCTAAAAAAAAAACAAAAGATATTGCTGAACATCTGCAAAGACTGCGATCCAGCGACCAGCAGAGGTAACTGGGATGGCATCACATGGACCTGATGCTGCCTCCCTGACAATGCAGTGTGATACATGGACGCAGCAGAACTTGATGATGGAGGGCTGTTGATGAGATGAAATCAGACAGATGGATGTGCCTGGCTCAGAGCACACACCAGGAGCTCAGAGCCCCCCCACACCAGTGGAAGCCCTGCCAACTCCCACTACAGTCACTGATTGACACAAGGACATACCAACACTCTCTAGTATTAGTATTGCTAGTAATAAAACTGATTGGCATTACACTGAACGTGGTAGCGACACTCGATGGCAGGATACTTTGAACTAAGACCTGACTTCAATAGTTCTGATGCTTTATAAGCTGAATTTAATGTGACTTCGAAGGATTTAATGAACAACTCGTTCGCATAATCTTGTAAAGAATCAAGAGTAAGGTACATTTTGAAATCGGTTAAGAGACGGTTTGGTGGCAGGTACCGGTGCTAGCTGCATCTACTCAACTCAACTACAACAACTAGCGACAACTATTTAGGACGCGTATGCAAGACAAAGGTGACTGACAGTGCTGCCAAGTAAGTTAACAAACCGCAACTAGAACCTGGAGAGCTACCGCGACCACCCGCTTAAAGTTGTCTGTGGCTGTCATGTGTCAAGCAGCTTTGTCATTGATATACTTTAGATGTGTTGCAAGGCCAGAGCATAGCGACAACACCACATGACTGGCTGTTAGCCCAATGTGCTATTCCCTTCACTACACTGCTACAGCTTCCAGTTCAAAACAGAGACGTGAAAATAACAACACTTTTGGTCTACTGAATCTTTGCATAATTCAGCAGCAACTCCCAAGCTACATGCTCTGACTGCTACGACTAACGGCTACTTGGCAAACTAGCATGAGCTAGCAAGCTAACGTTATCTCAGGCATTTAGCCTACCAAAATTCTCTTGAAAAGAGCATTCTCCTTCGGCGGTAGAGTGATTGTGGGCATTGTGTTGGCTTCCTATGCCTCTGCCGGTTCACACATGAATAATATCCTCTTAGAGGCAGAGATCCTGGACTGTTTCAGTCTCTTCAGGCTCCTCTCTCTCACGTGTTGAAGCCGAGGCCCCCTTCCGAGCAAAATGGCCGACGCGCTTCTCCTCCGGGTNTGAACTGGAATGTGCGTGGCAAGCCAGATCCCAAACAAACCATGAATCAATAAATGACACGTCTCGATTGCACTTCATTTTATTGACCACTAGATGTCCTACTCGAGCACTGTGTCATTGAAGCTTCGAGTAATGAACCATTTTTCGAATCAAGTGTCGAAGCTTCAACAAAGCCTCGATTGGCCATCACTACCTCCGGGTCAGGCTTCGCTCTGAGTCTGCGTGTGAAACGCGGACATGCGGGGCCGAAATGTCTCAGTGAATAAGAAATGCATGACACGAAATTGCGTTTACTATTAAATAAATAAATAAATAAATAAATAAATAAATAAATAAATAAAAAGGACATGTTGCAAATCTATGCGACCTTTTCTATGCTAGAACAAATGTGCCAGGATGCTCCGGTGTGTAGCACACTGGTGTGTTCATCCGTCGTTGCAACCAAATTCCATTCAAATTTCTATCAATTTAAAACTGCCTGACTTCTTGGAGAGAATCAAATACTTCACTCACTAAAGCTTGATTATGACAGGTTGTAAACGTGAGAGCACTGAAACCTCCCAAATAGCACTTTGTTACTGTAGGATCTCGTTTTGAGGAAAAAAAATAAAATAAATAGCATTAGTATCTTTATTTAAGAGGAAAATTTGGTGGAAAAGGGTAACGAGGATGACATAAAAAACACGAGTTTCTTAGAGTTTTTTTTTTTTTTAAAGTGAGCAGATCGTCACAAAGATTTAGTTTTTTGTCATACATGCGTGTATATATTTGCAGGCAAGCTAGGTAATAAAATTATAATTTCTGAAATTAAATTTGGTGCAATGTGAAAAACCAAACGAAGTCGTGGATTTGATTTCTTTTATTAATGCAAATAGTGCTAAGCTTGTAAAATCCACTCGTGTGTTGAGTTTTAAATCACTCTTGTTTTGTCTTTCTTTTTTTAAAATAACAGACAGATCTCCCTTAGTGGTCGCTCGACTTGTCGGTTATCTTTGAATCAGCCCTGCCAGGAAGTTTAATCGAGCGCCGTGCAGCAGGATCGTAGTTCGGATAAAGGCAGTCGCTCTGAAGCTAAAATGACTTTCAATCGGTTATTATGTAAAGCTGTTCAAGTCAACAGAGGTAAGATTATGGCACGATGATAATGCATTCGTTGTTACGATTCTGAATAGCAAGCGTTTTATCCTGCGGTGAACGTCGTGATTATTTTGAAGCCTGACCTTAGCTTAGCTTAGCTTAGCTTAGCATTGTTGTAGCACTGCAGTCTCAAGAGTGGTATCCTTCCTCTAATGTTGCGGATGTGTTGCCGTACTTTGTGCTTTTGAGCAAGTTTGTCAACCTATTCTCATATTTATCTAAGAGCAAAGGTTGAAGCTCATTTTTTTACCCACTCATAAGATGGAGGATTATTCACGCTGGATTGGTTTAGCTGCTGTACACAATGTGAAGCTGCCGTATTTACTGGACATGAACAGTAACTTCCAGTCTGCTTTCAAAACTCAGTGGATAGTGTGTTTGATGGAGGAATATGTCAAGAATAGTTTGGATCAATACATGTCCAATGCTATGTCACTACTGGTGTAGGGGACAGTTGCAGAGCCAAACGCTTATTATCGGACCAGGCTGAGACTGTTGCTCACATTGAGGCTGTACAGAGTCTCCTGGTATGAATCACTGTGAAACCAATAGTCACTTTTTGATCATCCTCTCATCATTTGCCTCTTCAGGCAAGACTTCCATGTGGAAGTATATGGATATGCACATACAGTATAAAACGCTTTTATGTTGATTAAAAGCTGGAACAGTTGTTTTCTTAATAGTTAGTAAAGCTAATGATATAAACTAAAAAGTACATACAAGAGCCCCTGTTTGGCTCAGGACAGTCACCCAGTGGAGACATATGTCCATCCAGCCTTCACTGTCTTCCTGTTAGCTGCAGATTGCACCACTTGTTTTCAGAAGAATCTGGACAAGCTTCAACTGATTCAACTGCATCTACAGCTAAACCTAAACCATACACACTAACTAATAAAAACATGTACCAACACATTTTAACTACATTTAAATGGAGGTGGTTGGACTGTTAAAATGCACCTGTACGGGTAATAAAGAGATAAAGTTGTTACTGGATGTCGCTCCTGTCCTGAGTACATGTGTTGTCCTGAAACAAGCTTCACTATTTGTTGTGTGGGGTTGCCATACTTTAGCGTAGCCCGGGGCCACCCCGTGGTTCCTCGCTTCTGTTGGATGGTAGGTCTTCTGTATTTCATCAACACATACCGCTTTCCAACGGCAGGAACCACTTGATACTGGTTGACTACTTTTGGCTGTCATATCAGCACTGCCTAATAAATGTTACGTAAATTTGATGCCAATGACAAAAGTTTATATTTTCCTAAACATATACATTTATGTGTCATGAATTTAGTGCAAGTAATTATCGATGCAGCAGGTCATTGTATTTCATTTAGCAAACATAGCTGTGGATAGCCTAGCCACTTAGCCAGACTGTTTAATTGATAACCGATTTAGGGCTGATCCATCTAACAGTTGCACATGTATTGGGATTTATGGAATGCCATCATGCATTTGATTGTACAGATTTGAATGTCTTCGCTGAATTATTTACCAATGATGGTTTTAATGATGCGGAAACTAATCACACTTCATTTCCCGTAGACCACTCTGATCCCACAGCCCACTGTTCACTGATGCCATTTACTCTCATATGTGTCATTTCTCTGCAGGGAAAGGTTCAGGCTAATGTAAGCACCTGCTGCATCCTCAAGCATCTGTGAAACTGCTTTATAATCAGACATTTCGAAAGCATGTAAGAACAAAATAGTTTCATGTTGGGTTTTTTTGTAGATTTTTTCATTTTTTTCATTTACATGCACTTCATGTTCAGCAAAGTTGGATATAAAAATGTATACATGTTGATCATGAATTTAGTTAATTGGCAGAATATTTACAAAGTACCTGTGCAATGCATACAAGACAGTTTGAACACACGCCAAGAGCAGCAAACCAATATCAAGCAGCTCCTGTCATTGGAGAGTGGTATATCCTGATGAGATACACACCATTCGAGAGCTGTATTAGCATAATGGATGTATACCACCACACCAGGAGAGGTGTACCGACCTGGTTTGATGGTTTGCAACACTTCATTCCTCTGTTGCATAATACAGATGTCTAATGACTCTAAAAATCTGGACCGCCCAGGGCAAGACATTGCTCAATTCTTTGTTAAAAGTAATGCCTTTCTCATGCTGTTTTGCTTCTTTTTTTTTTTCAGTTGTATCCAGGTCTGCATTTACAAGCGCCAAGCATGACTATGTCAACCCTAACTGGTTTCGAGTGGGTATGGCCTTTGGTTCAAGTGCTGTCCTGTGGGGCATGGTAAATATCCACATTTCACACACACACAGGCAATGATGTAGGATCTTTTCAACTGATGATTTGTTGTCAGAGTGCCATGTTGCATTCATCTAGATGGAGTTTGTCTCTGATATGTATGGAGAAACGTTTTTGTTAACGTGCTGCATATGTTTTGGAACTCATAGTGTCTCCCTTTATTTCAGCCAGTAGAGGGAAGCAATGGGCTGCAAGGATTGTCTCTACTATTTGTTTTTTGTTTTTTTTTTTAAGAAACATTGTTGATCAAAGGATACAAGTGCTTTCCTTGCATAATGATGAAGTTTGTCTTAAATTATCTATCCAAATGTGCACTTTGAGAGCCAAAGCGAGCTGCCTGAATGACTTCAGTACGATACTGTGATCACTAAAGGAGAGCTCCTTGAGTTTTGATCCTTGGGAAATCTGTTGAAATGTTTCACTTATTGATTGCAGATCTTTACTTTTATAACTGAATTTCCCTTCTGGGATGAATAAAGTATTTTTCATTTCATTCATTTCATTTACACCAGTGAATAGTTTTAGATTGTATTGGAATTTATTTTAGCAAGGAGACTATAAAGCAGCTTGTACATGTACGTGACTTGTGGTCTTGTTGTGTTCAACCTGCAGCTCTTTTGGCAGCACAGCGAGGATGTGCGCGAGTACAAATTGAGGAATGGCCTGGAATAGCCCACATAACTGGCAGGTGAGTGTCTCTTTGTTTCGAGGTTTATAAACGTAAAGACTGAGTCATGTCACTGTCGATCATTATTTTGTGATCTGATATCTGCCGTGCTACATAGCTGTTTGGTTTTCTGTTGTTCAGTATGAAGACAAACTTTGCATATGTGTGAACGAGTAAAACGTGACACCGTCTTTTCTTGTCCTTTGCAGGAGGTCGTCAGGTCCTGTCTGTAGGATGGACCTGTTTGTTTGCTGTTTCCAGATCGTTCCAGATTCCTCACTCTGAATTCTCTCTAAAATAAATGTTTATTATGTGAATATATGCCTGAGTCATGTGCATTTTGTACACATTAATTCACATTTGATGGCCAGAATCAGAGCTGTCTCTTATACATTTGATTTCATTTGACTTCTTTATTAAGGAACCAGGTTGTGAACGACACACTGACACGGAGCAGAATCTACGCAAAAGGTGACGCTGAGAAAGCGTTGTTTAAAGTTTGAAGGCTTGTTGTTTAACTTGGGAAGTAATAAAATCAGGTTTTTAGTCACTTTCAAAGGTAATGTCAGTGATTCTACAGTTTTGTTCAAATTCATGCCGTGCATGTTGGAGGTTGTGCTCAGGATAGGAGAAGGAGGCATAGGGAGCGAGAGGGAAGGTGAATCTGACACATGCCAATGATCTGAATGTAGTAACTAGCTGAACATCCACAATCACTCTCCAGAATCATAGACATTGCCTTTAAGACTGATTCATCACTAATCCTAAATAGAAAGTGTTGAAATACTTGACTGTTTTAACATCTACAAACAAAATATGTTTTACGGTGCTTTGTTGCTCACTTGAACAAATGAACTAATTTAAGAAATCAATCTTAGATTACATACATTAAAATACATGATTTAAAACAGAAAATTCCAGGTCTTAGCTCACTTATGACCTGATATATATTATTGTGCTTTGGCCTTTCCAATATGTCTGTATGCAAACCTGGATTCTATTTATATGACAAAGTGAAGGGATCAGCTCTTGTCAGTGTTTCGTCATTAAATAACGTTGCTGTCACATCTCCTCTGGTACAAGTGAAAATGTGCAATTTTCACAACTCACAGCCGCATCCAGTGTCAGTAATTAACGTGCTTTTGTTTGACCTTGGTGGACTTTGCACAAGTCAGCCTTCTGCCCCAGGGCTGGCCCTCATGCACAAACACGTCCATACGTTCACGTACAACATGTGTTTAAAGGGAATCTTTTCTAGATGGAAACTGAGTGTTTTTGGTAACAGGGTTTTGTTTTTTCATTACAGAAGAAAAAAAAAATAAAACACTACCGAGTATTCCCAAGCTGGCCAATTTGTATTGGCAGAGCAAAAATAATATTGTGCCTGGAAACACCGTTTATAACATGGAAAGAGATTCAGGAATGCTTTTTTTTTTTTTAAGCTTTAATTAAAACACAAAAGCAGCATTTTGTCCACATGTTGTCTTTGACCTTCGTTGAGGGGTGGGGAGCGACAGTCGGTATATGGAAGGTGATTTGTGCCACCACCCAGGAGAAGCCTTCAGCCTGCCATGAAATGACATTGTTTTGAGTAACTTTAATGACAAGCATGAAGTAAGATCGAAAAGAAGTTAGACAAAGTATATGTAAAGCTGGACAAAGCTTAGTTAACTATTAACAAGAAACGAAAAATTAGACCTAATTCATTTGTACTTTAAACTTCCGTGTCTTCTACAGGGAATAAAATTGTATAGCATTGTTTACACTCTACCAATGTTGTCCTAAATTCTGAATCGTTTCATTGGAGGGGGATCTGGAGCATCTGTTTATAAGCCATATCTTATATATAAAATGACATATAAGACATGTTAGGCTGATCTTACAGGCTCTCTGTTGGCCTTCTCCCGTGTCTGCAGACAGGCATTGATGGAGTGGAGGGATGCAGTTACATCCTGGAGAGGTTGTGCTACGTGTTTCTTGTGGAGGGAAACCAGAATGCCTGATTTGGAGGCTGGAGCGGGATCCCAGCAGGGTTGAAGGGACTGGTGCTGGAGACTGAGAATTACCTGCACTGGGAATGTGGCAAGATGTTGGAAAGCTATGCAGGGAAGACTCATACTGCCAACTGATAATACCCACAGAACTTTCTTGGAGGATCTCTAGGTTCTTTATAATTTGCTGCCAGACATGATGAAGACAGTTAGCAGGGGAGCGCAGAATGACCGAGGTTTCAATATGATAAAATGAACTATAAAGTCACTTTGACTGTCGGAAAACAGAAGCAATGACGAGAATAAAGCAGCAGGAATAGCTCATATTCACTGAGTGGGAATGGAGACAACAGATCTTCTTTATTGAACTTATACATTAGATTCACTTCATTATATGTATTATTGCAGGTTACCTTGCCTGCAAAGAGGCGCTGCCTTAAATGCTAAAGTCAGGAGACAAAAGTTTGTATGTGCAGTGAACACCACAAAATACATGACAGGCTGTCATATGACTGTCTACAGTCTGATTTGGTAAAATATGGCGAATGATATCTGTGGCTGTCTATTGGTCAGCGTATCACCTGCACAGAGAGGGATATAACCTGTGTGTGAACTAGACCATTGCTTGTTTTCTCATATAATCACTGACTTAAATTGAGTGAAGGTGAAAACCTTCCGCCACCACGCTTCAATGATGATGGCAAAAATAGCCTACATGCAGTCGCAGAGAGGAGACATGTCCCCCAACCTGAGCACAATGTGCCAGAGGCAAACTATGACAATATAGTCAACTTCCATCTTCCTGTGCTACTCCTTTTCCACCGAGCTGGTTCCACTGCTAGTTTGGAGCCAGAGCCTGACTTAGCACCAGTTCCTTGCGTTTCCATCACCTAAGCACTCCAGGTTCTACAAACTGGTGCTCAGCAAGCACCAACTCTTTTCTGGGCCATTATCGTGACCAATGAGAGCGATGGAAATACAGAATGGGACACACAAGCGGTAAATTGTGTCGTTTTCGCCAGGACATCCCTGGTCCGATCGCAGATACATTGGAATGAGTCCCAGGACACACAAACTGTTGTGCGCTGAAATCCAGTACAATTGTGTCCCACCAGGAGCACCACAGTGGTGGAAAACAGTACTTTCATAAAGTCGGTGTACGGCGGTATTTACACTTAGAAATGCGGTCATCTCGGAGCACATGCGCTGTTTGTTCTGGTCATGGAAAAGACCGCACAAGAAAAAAAATTCCCTCGGTTTCATCTTGGACAAATCTGACATTAGCATGTCCTCGTTTACTCTTTGTAAAGTAATTTTTGGTCGCACACCGGACTGAGCGCACCGCAATCAGCAAAGAAGCAGCTACCGCAGCCTGCAGTGTGGGGTGTTCAGGGAACATTGGTAAAATGTTGTGTTTATTGCAAAGAAAATGTTCAGCAAGTCGTAGGTTTTGCCTGTGACAAGGTGGGAAGTGCGACCAAATGAGAAAGTTGGTCGCACTAGTGAAAAAGTGAGTCTGGAGCTCTGGGTGGGCTCACGTATGGGGTGAGCGTTGTTCGGTAAACGGCTACATACGAAGTGATGTGTTGAAGTTTTACGGTGATGCAGTTGCATGGCTCTAGCTTGGCTCCTTGCTAATGGAAAAGCAAACAGGCTCTTAGGAGATGTGAGATTTGAACCAACTAAGCACTGGCACTCGCACCAACAAGGAAGGAGCATCTGGTTCACCTGGGCACTACTCACCCCTCATACAGGGTATGTCTCATCTTTCGCTGCGGGATGGCACGACTCACCCTTCATACAGTGTCACTTTCCCGTGTCCTCTTTGACACTAATCACCCCTCATACCGCAGGCACTGCACAACATAATTGCGCAACAGAGGGCAGGTCTGTTCTCCGCCTCCTCGCACGCTTCTCCTCCCAGACTACACCAGCCATTCATCCAGCGCTTTCTGAAGCCGCAGCACTCTCACCGTAGCCCCACGGAGAGCAGCGATGTTTTCCTGCAGAGCGGCCTGGCAAAGGTGTGGGCCTCTGGCACGGAGGGCAGCCTACAGGTTGCCCCAGGACGGTGAGTGTCATCCTCCAGCTGAAAAAGACACGAACACACAACACGAAGCCGATCAGGTTTAACGTGACGCCGCCTCCTCGCCGTGTGGCGGCGGCCGGTGGAATGGTACACTCTGTCCTCGTGTGAGTTTCTCCGCACAGATGCATCCCCACGCTGGATGACGATGGCTGCCGTGAAGGTCAAGTCGGCTTTTTTGGCTGAAGTTGGGCTGAAAGGATTTTGTTGGGCATTTTTGAACCTCATATTTACATGAGCTAGTCAGCTGGTACATGAGGAATGTTAGAGTCAGGCAGCACATCTTATCCATCCTCCGGCTGAGCAGCACATCTAATCTATCATCTGCCAGCTTGTTTCCACTCTTGTATAAAACACGCGTTACTTTTAAAGCAGCGGAACTGTTGAACTCTTCCAGACCAGGTGACAGCTGCCATGTTTGGAAGGTTCCTTTTGATTCATTTTTTGTTATAATTAAATGAATGCACAGCACTTTGGCATGTGGATGTGACCTTCACTCGCCTGCGGTTGCGTGGAAACATGGTTGCCGCTGTCAGTCACGTGGTGTGCGCGTGTGACGGTGGTCAAATGTAAAGAGAGCAGAGGCACGCGCCGCACATCCACAGTTGCTCTGAGGAGCGCGCGCTTGTCCACGTTCACGCGTCATGACGCCATTTTTCAGGCTCCACGGTGAGGTCATGTGTTGGACAAATGGTTTCACTGACTGAACGAGTCAAAGCAGTGATAATGTGAGCTGCACAGAACGGAAGGGACAGAGCTTGAAAATGAAATATCAGAAAAATGTGAATGTTAGCTTCTGTTATGCTGCTAAAAGTCTAGAAACACTCTCAAGGTGTTCCTGTCTTCCTTCAAAGACTTTCTCCACGGCAGTGGTCCCACTTAACTAGAGGAGGGTATCATGCTCTAATCCTGCCGTCCTGACCACAGCCCCCCTCCACTGATGATGAATTTTTACCACCTTACCCACTCCAGCTCCTGCCTTTTTAGACTTGAGCCGATTAGCAGGTATAAATAACAGGGCGGCAGGGAGTCAGGTCAGAGGCCAGCGCTCAGGATTAGCTCCTGAGAATATGAGGAGTTTAATACCCTCAGCGCTGGACATGGAACCAGGCTTCTACAAGAACAACTGGTCCATAGCTTGACAGTGATTTGCATTACAAAGGACATGGCCACAGCTGAAACGGTCACAAAATGCTCAGTGTTCATCAAATGTGAGGCTGACTGACATCAGCCTGTCAGGACACACGACAGTAAGAATCATCAGTCCTTGTGCAGATTTTATTTCTGACCATTTGACAAACAAAAATATATCTACTGCTTGAGTGAATGAACCTGCGATGGACAAAACATATCCCGTTTTTGTTTTTCTTTTGTCTAGAATCACTTGAGGGTTGCACTGTGCAGGAAACGCTTCGTCAGAGAGCGCATCCTCTTATTCTCTCGGTTTATTCAGTGTCGTATTTAGTTGTAATCCTTGAGTTCATGTATTCCATAAATGTTCTTACGGTTTACATTCACTGCACTGCCTATTTGTGGATGCTGGTCAGCTCAGCTTTATGCTTGTTTGAGGCGTGAGTCTTTGTCTCCGGTGAAAGCTGATGTGCTGGCTCTGATCCAAGTTTCCTTGTCGTAAACCAAACTTATTTTGTCTGGATCTGAAAAATGTTCCATCAGGGAATGAAAATGCTGAGTCAAACTAAAACAAAGCCAACAAAATTTCTTTGGACTAATTACATTAAATAATCCTCCCACTGATACACATTTAAAGCATGTGGCGTAAGAAGCCAAACATGAAGAGTGTAAAGCAGCACCGTGTAAGTGCCAAAACAAGTGTTGACAAGCTTGTTTCTTTCAATCTAAATCCAATCAGATGAGTCAGTGGAGCACCGTAGGCTACGTTCTAGCTTTTCTCTTCAGTTGTTTTTTTTGAGATGGTGGCAAATTCTAAGTGATCTCAGGAACTAAGACCAAGACTTTACAGTGTTATAACCAATCAAACCCTAGAGTCTCTCCCTCTCGCTTTCTTTCTATTTTTGTTTTATTTCTTAAATGTGACTGTCACACAAGGGGAATGGCACGTACTTGTCAAACCCGACAGTTTAAATGCCTGACAGTCAGATGCCCTGCAAAACATGCATCCTAAATTGCAGCCTTGGCGATTTGCAAATCGCATTGTTTCAGATTTCATTTTGATAGCTATTAATCATTCAAACCCTATTGAGAGCATAAAATAAAGCTTCTGTTAAGGAAAAATCACAGAGAAAGATCTAACGTGACCTTTTTTGAACCTTTTGCAGTTGTCCAGCGGCGGCTGATGTCATCGACTCCTGGTGGATCTGGAGAGAACATCGTGTACGCCCTGCTGTGTGGTGGAGCCCTGGTCGGCTCTGTGACATATGTAAGTTGTCGTGTTGTTTCATGTTAGCCTCCACACATCTGTTGATGCTAATTTACTCTAAGTGTAGTCGACATGTTCTCAGGAAAGGCTCCGACTGTCCACGTCTAATATATGAGCTAACCTTGACCTGCGGAAAAAGGGGAATTTGTTATTTTCAGGAGTCGGAGCGAAGCAGAAAAATCACACTCGGACTGTTTGCTTCCTCCACAGGCATACAACACTGTGGTGTCCGACCATACCAGGTATAATGAGCGCATTGCAGAGATCAAGGCCAGACCAACGACAGAGTGGGTACCTAAACCCTGGCCACCTAAGAGTAAGTCTTCCTCATGCGTCCCTTCATGTCTCACCTAATTTATTGTAAATAAACGAGTGATGATCAGACGAGATCCCTCCCACTGCCTCACTGGTTATTGTGCTGAAAGCTAATGTCTGTGAGTGCTTGTGAAGTGACGTAGCTTATCATGTAATGTCAACCTCCGTAGAAAGATTCATCCAGTTAAACCTGCATGCATATTACAGAGATCACAAAGTTGATCAGCTTTATAGCTCTGCATGCTTTGAGTGTTCTGCTCATGGAACCGATAGAAGGCAGACACACATTTGTCATTTATATTTAACATATTAGCTTTTCATCTGGTTTTAATTAAGTTTTTTTTAGGCTAGCTACAGCTTGTGAAGATTGTCACAGCTCAAATGAGTCTTTGAATTTTTGCTTTCGACTGGATGGGATTTGGATAAAACCTTCCCAAGAGTTTATAGGTGTACAAGTACAACGTTTTAAAGCGTGCTATCAGTGACTGAGTAGAGACGCATTTCCACCAGCTCCTATAAGGGTAGACATCATGCCTGATCTTACTGGTGCTGCAGATGCTGATCAGTATCCTGAGGCTGGTTGTGCACAATGTGTGAGGTTGTTTATTTACACGGTCATTGTGTGGACAGCTCCTGGTGCTGAAATGGGGTTTAATAAACAAGTCAAACAAATGAAAGCACACGGCGACGTCTTCTTCAGGTTCCTCTGAATGATCCTGGTGACTGACGGCAGTAAATGCTGAATGCTAAAAGATTTGAGTGCGCTTTTAATTACGATGACACACCGTTTAAAGGTTGATTATTAGGACAGCAACCAAAAATGTGTCTCTATGTATAGTTTTTTTGGTTTCTTTTAACCCCCTTTTAGCCAAAAAGTGTCCGTGCTGCACTGTTAGGCAAAAAAAAAAAACAGTTGAGTCACGCCAAGCAAAGGATTGTGGGACAGTCCCAGATGATCCCCTGCTTACTGCAGCATTCAGGAAACGCCACTGACGCGTTGCACAAATGCGGCGACTAAGCAAAGCTATCCAGTTCAGTCTGCTGTTGGTCGAGTGACCGTCCTGCTGTCTCAGTAGCTTAAACACAAACACACACACACACACACACACACACACACACACACACACACATACACACAACCTGAGTGCCTGCTGTCCTGCCTTTGTATTTTTTTTTAAACAATGTTTTAGACAAAAACTTCAGAAAATATGATATCTGTTCTCAAATACATTATTTTGAGAAAAGATCCAACTTGTATTAAACTGTTCTGATGAATTCTCACGTACATGAAAGAGGCAGACTCCACTGGTTGATCGGATAGTCGAAAGAAATGTGCAGAAAATTATTCAACAACAAGCTTCACAAGTTAAAATGTCAAAACTTTTCAGGTTCTAGTTTCTCAGTCGTTGCAGTAACCGTTGCAGCTTCTACTAAATTGTAATGTTTTCCAGCTATTGTTTCCAACAGTTCACCAATTAAGAAAATATTGAAAAAAACAGAGGCATAATAGAGTGATGTATTATCCTAATGTAAATGACAATTCAGTAATAAATAACACAGGGAAGAAATGTGCTACTTCTTGAATTTTGCAATAAGAGTTTGTCCACTGACACGATGACAAAACTGCTGCAGCTACTTGATCCAAAACTGGGAGGTTCTGATTTAATGCAAGTAAGTTTATTCGCTAAAGTTATGAATCAAGCATGAATAGAAGTGTAACAGGAAAAGCTGATGGGAAGCGAGCAGCTGGAGAAGACGTGTCACTCTGTTGGGTTTGTTGGAACCACAGAAACACTGAAAGGCTGTTCGCTGATGAGAAGTTGGTATTATGTGGTGGTCAGTCAGGTGTCTGCCAACCTCAGTGTCAGGATAAAACAACATTTACAGACATGTTTACTCACACACACACATATATATATGTATATATATATATATATATATATGAGCAAAATTCTGCCCAATGTGGAGAATGCCATTTAACTGTGTTCCTGCCCCATATGATGTTCCATTTCTGATTATTTGCACAAAAACAAAAAAGGCAGTTTGACAATAATGGAAAAACGCAACGTCTTGGAGCAAATCAATGTTGGCAGATTGCTGGTAAAATGCTTCCATTAGTACATGACTCAGTCTGTTCAATATTTCTAGAAAGTTTTATTCACGATTTCCTTCCCAACATTCACACTTCTCCCCACTAAACACAAACGTCCTCTGACCTAACACACACTTCTGTATGTGTTCTGCTCGACAGTTGGCTGTTTATTTGTTCTGGTTAGCTAAACTGAGGAGGTTAATGTATTTGATCCAGTCTCACAGACGAGCCTGAGCAGTGTACCGACAGCAGCAGCAGCACAAGGAGATAAATCTGTGTTATGTGAACTGTTTGACTCGTACAGAATCGGGCTTAATGCTGGCATCAAGATGAGCCATTTTAACTAGTCATGTAGTATTGAAACATCTTAATTAATCATAATTCAACGTGTTTAATGAATCTTTGACCAATCACAGGGTAATGTTTTATTATTATTTTTTATATTACACAGTTGAATGAACTCTGTACATTGATGCTGGGTAGAGGATGAACCCTGTGTGTGGTTAGTCATGTTTTATCAATAATAATTTTTAAATGAAGTCTCTGTTTTACAGTTATTCTTGGTGAATATGCACAACTATGACCGGCATGTGGAATAAGAAGAAATACACTGACACGTGCATAAAAAGATTATTTTCTTGACTGGTCATCAACTGAACATTTTAAACCCTTAAACAGTGAATGTAATGTATACGTCAGCTTTTCTGGATTCTTTCAGTCGTAGCTGAACAGAGAAACTGCTGATGGCTTAGAAGTTGTTCAGACTGGTTTCTGTGCGACCCCTAATGCTGATGTTTCTGTTTGCTTGCAGGCAAGGATGAAGAAGAGGGTGAGTTGTCTGATCACACTTACGCTGCTGTCATTCATTATCACCGCCTGAGAACTCTGAATGCTCACTGAAGAAAGAAATGTCAGCATGGGCCTGATTGTGCTTCTAATATTGTCACTATCCTGATTAAAGAATTCGCTGTGAGAAATTGCCACGATCACGTTAATCACCGTTTAATTTCACCAGTCGTTGTTTCAAGATCAGACATCCAACAGTGGGAAATGGTTTACGCATTATCAGTTCCTCAAGGGGAAATCAGGTGACTGCAGTAGCAAGTGGATCCATCAGTGGCAATCGCAGTCATACAAGTGAGCTATAAAAGCTGACGACCAATTATGAAGAAGCGCTTAGATACACTTTGACAAGACCATAAATCTAATGGCAATGATTTCTCTAACTCTTCATTTTCTGTGATGGAATAATTCAATCGCGTGTCTTTGTCACAAAAACAAACATGCATTTTGGTTCTTTAATGGTTTTTCTTGAAAAATGTACATACATCAAATAAAGCTGGTTAAATGTCTCTTTGCCATTGTCACCTCGGTTAGGTGCTTTTGGTAGCCATCCACAAGCTTCTGGCAAACTTCTGGTTGGACCTTTGACCACTCCTCCAGACTCAACTGGTGGAGTTTGACTGAATTGTTGCTTTCTGAGACAGACTTCAGTCCACGGCGTTCTAAACAAGGTCTGAGTCGGGACTTTGGGAAGGCCAGTTGAAAACCTGAATTGTAGCCTGATGTTACCAGAGTTTGGAGTCATTGTCTTGCTGGAACACCCAACTGTGTCCAAGACCCAACCTTCTGGCTGATGATTTTAGGTTTTCATGAAGACTACAGAGGTAATCCTCATTCTTCATTATTCCGTTTACATTGTGTAAAGCACCAGTTCAACTGGTACCAAAGCAGCCCCAGAGCATGATGCTGCCACCACCATGCTTGACAGTAGGTTCGGTGATCTTGGTGTCAGAGGCCTCGTCTTCTCTACTGTAAACACATTTCTGTTCAGCTCAGTTTGTGTTTCATCTGACCACAGAACTTCCCTCCAGAAGGCCTTTTCTGTGTCAATGTGATCAGCAGCAAACGTCAGTCGACCCTTAAGGTGCTGCTTCAAGAGGAAGAACTTCCTTCTTGCATGTCCATGTCAAACTAAAACATGCTCGACTATGGACACTGTTCCAGCAGCTTCCTAGTTAATTGCACACCTGCTTTTTAGTGATTCTCGGTTGACTCTCGACCATCCTGACCACTTGTCTCTCAGCAGCAGGTGATAGTTTGTGTTTTCTTCATGATCTGATGTAATTGTTTGCACAGTTGATTTAGGGATCTGTAGCTGCTTTGAAATGGCTCTAACAGACTTTTCTGACTTGTTTAAACCATTGACTGCACTTCTGTGCTGAGCTCCTCATACTTTCCCACTGGAGTGTTTGTGGCTGTTTGAATGTGTCCAATGGGCCCAGTTGAAATAAAAAGTCAGCAGCTGTAGTCAGTCATGTTCATAATCATTTCTATATCACCAACATTATATATACAAGTATATATATATATATATATACAGACAGACAGACGCGTGTTTGAATGATTCCATCACATAAAACGATTTCTGTTATTTACATGGTCTTTATGAGTCTATGTGGACTTTTGTTCACAACTGTACTTGTGATAAAATGCAAAACTAAGAGGGTAAATAGTTTATTAGATGTTAACGGTAAATAGTTATATGAAGTATTTGCTTAAGATTTAAGCTCTTAGCGCGATTCTGAACAAAGGATTAATGATGAGGAAGCCTGGAGCGTCACTGAGTAAAGCTTCGCTGCTTTAACACAACGTTTGCATTCATGCTTGGACAGGATCAGGCAAACATATGAAAGTGAACAAAAACGGATTAACAAGTCGTCACGAAGAAATCCTCAGAGTGTAACAGAACAGACGGGCGATTAATGGAGGCCTTCATACATATGCAGTCATGTCCACTGTCAGCAGTGTTGTCTGGCTTTTATCGAGGTCTGTTGATTAAGTGGGGCCTGATTTTGATGAAGAGATGAGGAACGGTAAGCTGTCTCACCTCATTCTGGATGATGTTACAAAGCACTGCTCAGCATCAACAGACAGCTTCAGTGATGCATCCCTGTCTAGCTTTTCCACATGAGATTCAGTGCCAATGGCCGCTATTAGGATGATATCAAGGTGTTTACATTAGTACCATATGTACATACAGGTAAAAAAAGAGTCCTAGTTTTTATAGACCTGGGATTAACTCTGTCCTATGCTGACCTGAGCCTAACCTCACCAGGTTTTACACTCCTGGTTAAAATGCACGGTGACCCAACCAGTCCCCTCCTTTGATACCACTCCATCCTTGTCTTCTCTCCCTCTCACTCTTCACTGTGTTCCTCATTCCAAAACAAACCAGCTCTTTGCCTTCAAAGAAGAAGCCATACATTTTATTCTGAACATACAGTGCTTATAAAAAGTGTCTCCGCTGCCCTCCGAGTTTTACTTTTTAACGTCGAAGTGAAAACGGATTTCTACAAAGTAATGTCCATCAGCTTGAAAGTGATTGCATAAGTATTCCCCCTTCAGGTCACTATTTTATAGATGCACCTTTAGCCACCTTTAGATTCATTTTGTTGTCTTCAAACCTTTTCAGAGTAGCGTTGGCTGTGTGCGACTGGTCATTGTCTATAAAGGTCAGTTTTGGCCTCCACAGACCAGCGATTCTTCTTCTGGGAAACTTCAGAGTCTCCCACATGCCTTTTTGGCAAACTGAGATTGAGATTTTTACTCTCCAGGTTGTCTTATACACAGTCGTTATCATCTCAGCTGCTGAAACCTCCTTCAGAGGAGTCAGAGGAGTCTCGGTGGCCTCCCCTATGAGTCTCTTTCTTGCAGTCCTTTAGTTTTTGAGTGCGACCATAGTCCTTCCATTTCTTACGGACTGATTTAGCTGCTCTCTGGGGGATGTTCAGTGAAATGTTCTTGTCTCCTTCCCCTGACTTGTGTTTTTCAATCATCTTTTGTCAGAGTTGCTCAGAGGTTTCTGTTGTAGTTCTCTCACCAGTGACTGGACCTTCCAGATACATTCACTGCACTCAGATGATCTTCATTTCACTGTTGTGCGGCTTCGAGCACCTTTAAAAGGAAAAAAAAACAAAAACTATTGACATTACTTTGTAGAATTCTTTGTACTTTGGCACGAAAGAGTCAATTTCTCTGATTTTTTTTTTTTTTTTGTCAAAACAAAAACCACTAAAATCCCATGATTCAATGTTGGAAGCAGTTAAAAGGCTACCGAGGGAGCTGAGAGCTTTTTATACACACAGTAAATCATTTAAAGGCATCTCTCCTTCCAGTGAGACAACCTGGTGACTTTAACACTTGACGTGGACATCACCAGTGTCTCTCTCTAGCAGCCCATTTCCATTTCACACACACACACACACACACACACTTAGCCTCTGTGGTTGAATTTAGACTAACGCTAACATCACTGTGTTCATGAATTGTGGCTTTTTAATTATTTTTACAGAGTAAGATTTCTTCTTCTTCCTATTTCTCTAACTCTCTGTGTCTTTACTCTTTTCAGTGTAATGCTAAAGCTAAGGTCCTCTGTGGCCGCATGGATATTCGTCCTAGAACTGGACTCTTTGGATCTGAACAGGAAAACAAAACCCCTCTCCTCCTTTCCTCCTCTACTCAGCCTTAAACCTCCGGACAATACTGTCAAGGATCTCGGTCTTTTTGTTTTATTCTTTTACTGTTTACATCCACGGAGAAGATAAATGGACACATTGATTTTGACAGAAGACGACATTATTGTTTACAGCACTTCGATGTGAATGTTACTGCTCTGTTTTTGTGGGGAAATCTGCCCGTTATTCTGCTTAATGGACACAGCAAAGTCATCCATGCTAACACATTAGCATGCACTATTTTGAGTGATAGTATTCCATCAATATTATCCAGCAGCTCTGGTTTCTGAATGTTGGCATCTCACTGTTGTCTTCTGTAGCAGTGAGAGCGTCGCTGTTGTTGGCGACATGCAGTCGTCTGCATTCCCACACTGGCTGGACAGAAAAGCATTTCTCAGAAATGATTCCATCTGGAGGCTGTAACACAAACATATAGACTGTTTTGTTACGTTTAGGGTGTTGTTAAGGTAAACCTCTCAAACAGAAATGCATGGGTCCTCCTGTTGTAGCTCAACAGAGCCGTGGTGTTCGCTGAAGTGTCAGCATTCAGCTCATCACTAATGAAATGCCAACATGAGGATATGGAGGCTAACGTCACTCAGACTAGTCAGTGCTCAAGGGTTAAACTCCCAAGTCCGAGTAGATTTCTGGGCCTGTCTCCTGCAGCTTGGTGTATTTTTGTTTCTGGTCAAAATGTAGAGTGACTGTTTGAGGGACAAGTTAAAGATTAAAGAAGACGCACAACCTAGGCTGTCTGTGTCTGTCTCACTGTTCGGACTCACTTTCAGAGTTCCAGATAATTCATAGCTTGTTAATTGGATGGTAAGAACAAAGATTCAACTTCACCCCTTCTACCCTGCACCTGAACCCTGCACTCCCCTCCTTCCCCTTTCCTCTTCCCCTCCCTTCCCTGTCGTCGTCCTCCTCCCTGTCTTTGAGTTTGCATGCAGTGAGTTTGTGTAGTGAATGTGTTGCCTCCGGGCGTTTTCCAGACGGGGCAGTGGTAAGGTTGGGAGTGGCATGTGTTGGGCCGCAAACAATATGCAGAACAACGTAAGCTGTCGGTAGCTGTGTTTCCACCCATCTCAGCTGAATGCAGCTGATATAAAATATAGTCAAAATGATCGATTTAACACACGTCAGCACTGCCCTGCTTTTGTTGTTCTTAGAGAATAAATACTTTTATAAGAGGACAGATCATGGCATAGATTAGTAACCGTGTTTTTGACTACCTCAAGCTGTGGAGCTGTATTTATGACAATCACTGCACATCAGCGAGATCAAATATATTGGTGACCAGTATGCTGGATTCAGAAAGGCCGTTACTCATTAGATGCTAATTCTGCTGTCCCTATGTTGTCATGGTCATGTAGATGTGCAATGAACAGTGGCAGCCCTGTTATATTTGAATGTACATAAAGAATATGTGCAGTTATTGCAAAACAATTTACTCTTTATCATAGTTGTAAGAAGCCTCGATGGAAACACAGCTACCAATAATTTAATAACCTTGTCTAATGCTGCTTTTATATTAGAGTATTAGTTTATAAGGTTCTCACATTTTAAAAGAGTAACGCAGCTTTCCAGACTACTGATATCTGTGGACACACACTCAATCCTCAACCTGAGCACTGAAACATGTGCTGTTGCTGCTCTTCATCCTTGTTTTGGTCCTTGTGTTCCAGGAGGAGAGGAGGAGGAGGCAGCAGCAGCTGAGGAAGCCGGTGGAGAGGCTGAGGAAGAAGAGGCCGCCGGCGGTGAGGCAGAGACTGTAGTAGAGGCGGTGGCCGAGGTGGTCGCCGAGGCTGCTGAAGTCGTCGAAGAGGCTGCTGAAGTCGTCGCCGAGGCTGCGCAGGAAGTGGAGACGGTGGCGGAAGAAGTAGCCCAAGTGGCTGAAGCTGTGGAGGAAGCTGCCACGGCGGTGGCAGAGCCAGCCACTGTTGCTGCTGAGGAGCCTGAAAGCAATGGTACGACTTCTTCATCTGAGGAGGAGGCAGCTGCCTCTGAGGCTTGAGTTACCACACATTCACTGCAGGGACACGCACACACTACTAGACACACTGGAACATCTCTAAACCACTTTAAAGAGCCCCTGACAGCAGGTCTTTCCTCCCTCACAACAGTGGGGACAATAAAACCACTAAACTACAGTCACTGTCTTTAGAACCACTAGAGGCTAGCTGCTTCTCCTCAGGTGCCTGGGTTCACCTCTTTTATTCAATATTCTCTTCTATCTTCCTAAAAATGTATATTTGCTCGTGTATTTATTGGGTATAAAAGGGCAGCAGCACTATGTGTTTGTTTCTTCACGTAAAAATGACTTGAGATTTTCCTAATGTGCAGCGCAGACCACAATATGACGTCTACATTTGCTCTGATTCTCACACGGCCGAGAGAAGTGAACAGCTGGCAGATCCTCTGATTTGCAGCTGCACGCCACAGTGAGACATTTCCACAGTGGCAGTGAGCTCTTTATGTGACGCTTATTTGCAGTTATGCGTGAAATAAATGTGATCACTCTGAATACAACCATGCAGATTGACTCTAATTACACCCGTTAACATGGCTGGTCATTCCCCTCTGAGGTCACCCCAACCCTTACGTCAGGCTCCACCAACCACCCCCAACTAAATAACAAGCAAGGACAAATGCTGTCATATTATTGGTACCCCTAGTGCTATTTTGAGATTTGACAAAACATTGTATTCCTTTGCTATAAACCTCTGTAATGTTGTAATGCTTTGGCAGGTATCACAGAGCAGGTAGACCCTGTTGATCCTTAAACTGTCATACAGTTGTGTATATCTTACAGCAAGACCAAATGTACAAACTCTGTAACTGTTGCAGTGTGTTCTTTTCCTCAAGTGTAAAGTGAAATTGTCAGAGAAACCAGAAGGTCAGAGAATTGTAAAAAAAAAAAACACCAAAATAACATCAATCTTCAGCTTACCGTCACCACCGTGATCATATTTTTATTTTGCTTATAACTGGGTAATGAGCACTGTTAACAGTTTACAGTAATTCATCGAGCCATACAATAAAGCTTTTGTCAAACCAGAAAGGTTTACTGCCGTCTTTAATTTGTCTGAATTGGTCTTTGAATTTAGTAATTAGTCATTTTTACTGGAACTTGTGAGTCACTGCGTTTCTAGCAATCCATTCCAGTTTAGCTTTTCAGCTTCTTGTTTTTTTTCTTCACAAATGCATTTTCTACACAGAGTAGAAAATCCTTGCTTTGCCTCCTCACATGTATTTATTAGTCTCCGGTGAACTTTCCCTCAGCTCTCCACTGCATTTTCTTCTCACTGCTTTCTCCACCCCAGCTCTTTCTCTGCTACACTGCATCAGGCACAAGCACTGGGACTTCTGCACTCATCCACAAACAACCTTCTGTTCTTGCGTTATGTTCCATGTGTATTCTAAAAGATTCTGTAGAGGTAACTGGAGAATCTGCATATCAGCAGTAATTTGTCCTGTGGAGAACAGACAAGTTTAATTTTCAGCTGTCACTATTTTTTCAGTAAATAGTTTGGTTACCAGTCATATTAAATAATAAACCTTTTTTTAAATCAAAAATGTTAAAATATATGTATATATTATTAGCCACTATATACCATGGGATTTTTGATATACTTACCTGTATGTGCTCTGTTATTGTCCTTGCATTTATTCGATTCTTGCCACATTTTTGGTGGATTTGTTTTCCTTTTTTTGTAGTTTTCCTTTACTTGTATGGAAGCACTCTGTTGGTTGGCAGCATTTTATTTATGTTCTTTGGGACTAAAACTCCTTTACTGTGGCACTTTTTTTCTGTTTTATGTCTTCCACCTCTGAGGGTTAACATTTCACCTGCATGTAGTTACCCTCACCACAAAGATTTGCATTAACTCCTGTCACTAGAAGGGTTTCCCATCTGTCCAGTAAGTTACCTTGGCTAGCCGTCTCAACTTGTGAGCTAACTGTGGGAAAATATAACTTGAGCATCAGTGACATTTAGATGGCTGGATTTTGTGTTGCAGTTCTGATGGCAGCTGCCTCTACTCTAGAGGTACCGAAGATAGCTGAAGTAACGGAAGAATTGGCACCAGTTGTTGTAGATGAAGAGCCTCCGGCCTCAACAGAAGCAAAGCCTACGGAAGAAACGGAACCAGTTAAGGAGGC